GCCCCACATTTGCAGCAGCTGCCCCCAGGGATGGGCTATGCTTCATCAAGGTCCCCACCAGCCTCAGACTCTGTGCAACCTCTTTGGGCTGCTCTTTGGGCACTTCCTTGCCTCCCCCCCTATAGCATGAGCCCAGGCCAGGAGCCATGAGGACATGGCAGTCCCAGCAGCCAGCCTGGTCGCTTTGCTCCTTGATTGCTTGGCTCAGGCCCACACAACAGCGCAGCCCCCAGCGAGAGACAGGCCATCCATCCTTCCACCTCCCGGCCAGCGCTCTCCCAGCTCCTCTGGATGGTTATGAAGCATATAAATCTCTGCTGGGCTGGCGGCAGCTCTCCTCCCCTCGCTGCAGGGCTCTGGGATCAGGATGGAGACACGAGTGTCTGCTCAGGGCTACCGGGGATCTCTGGAGTTATAAGAACAACCTTTGCAGCAGCAGGACGTTGGCGTCCGCGGTCCCCCCGCTTTCCTTGCGGCAGGGTCAGGTGCGATGCCTGGTGCTGTGCCAGGGGCGACTGTGGTTTTGCTTAGAGTTTGGACAGTGGGTTTGTCCGGGCTGGTTTGGGCAAGGTTATTCCCAGAGGGCAGGTTGGGAAGGGGCAAGGAAGGGCGTGGTTAGGGCACACCATCCAGGTCCTTGCTGCGTGGCCTTGGCCATGTCACTTAGCCCCTCTGCCAAGCCTCTCTGCCAGGGATACGTGCTGCACCGGGATGCATGGAGCAGCAGGGAGGGGCTCGGGGCAGCACGGGAGCCTGACCTGTGCCCTGTGTTGGCCCACCATGGCAGGATCCCAGTGCCCTGAAATCCTGGCTGGGCTGGCAGGGGGCAACAGCACTGTGCACTGCATTGGCTTTGCCAGCTGCTGCAAACACCAGCAGCAATGCCCCCCCCATGCCCACCCCAGCACTGGGCTTGTTGGTGTGACAAGTGCCCAAGCACAGGAAGCATCAGGAATGGGCATTTGGCCTTCAGGTCCCTACTGAAATGGCCATGGGCAGCAGGGTCCAATGCTGGAGCTGTGCCCCATGGCTGGCAGGGGCAGCTGCTGTGATAGCCCCCAGATCTCTGAGCTGAACAGATTGGCATGCACGGGCCAGTTTCAGCCCCTCTTTAGCCAGAGAAGGTCGTTGCATGTGGGAGCCAGTTGCAAAAAAGGGAGAGAGAGATTGCAAGCAGCTGAACCCAGGGCAGTGTTGCCCTCAAGCCGAGGCGTCCCGTGGGCTGTGAATGACCCAGGCTCCAGTCCTGGCTGGAGCAGTGCCAGGGTCCCTCTGCATGGGGCCTGTCTGAGCTGGGGCTCACTCCCGTATCCCTGCTTGGAAATCCACGGAGGGGTCTGATTTGGTCCCGGGGCCGGATGGGAAGGCCATGACCCTGCACAGCTCTGCAGGACGGGCTGCCCGATCCCCACCAGCCTCCCTCAGAGCATGCAGATGCCATGCCTGTTTACTGGCAGTGGAAAGCAAGGCCCTTGGGAGGCAGCGGGGCATGCGGGTGCTGGGGACGGAGAGAGCTGCTGTCAGCCCACTGCAGACTGGAGAGCCGCACCCCAAAATGCAGCCAGCTCTGGGGTGGAACAGGTGCCACAGCAGCGCAGCACAGCACAGCACAGCACAGCAGGGGAAGCGTAGGAGCAGTCGGAGCGGATGAATGACAAGTGGCTTTGTATGAGTCCTGTGGGACATCTCTGCCGTGCCAAGCACTGTCCATGCACATCCCTGCCCCGGAGAGCCTAAAGCCGACCAGACAGACAGCAGGGAAACTGAGGCACGCAGCAGGGAAGGGAAGGGAAGGTCAGTGGCAGGGCTGGGAACCGAGCAGGGGTCTCCTGACTCCTGCACAGTGCCGTGGCCACTGGGTCTCACTTCCTTGGTGGTCCTGTGAGCTCTCTCAGGGGGCAGACTTTAACGTGGTGCATACAGCTCCGAGCGCAAGGGGCAGCTGAGCTCTCCGTGGGGGCCTGTAGGCCTGATGGTGGCACCCAGTGTAATAAATACTGGGAGCAGGGTGGCGGTGGATGGAAGGAGGGAGCCTGGGGCTCGGTGGGCCATGCCGTGCATGTCTCCATCAGGCCTGTTGGGCATGGGATAATTGCTGGCTTGGGGAGGGTGCTAGGGGCTGACAGATACCAGGCCTCTCCACAGCTCCTCGTGTGTTAGGACACCAAGCTGTCATCTGCCGTCAGCACGAGCAGTGTCTGTGGCTACAGCTCGTGCCCACCTGGCTGCCCCAGCTGCGGTGGGCTGCCCCCATCCCTCCCCAGCCTGGCTGTCTCCAGGAGGGCTGTCCCACGGCTGCTGGCTCAGCACCGCGTCCTCTGCTCTTGTCCTTCCAGAGATGCCGTGCTCAAGCAGAAGCGGGTGGAGTGCAGCGGGTTGCCCCCAGCTGAGCTCCAGGGCAAGGCGATGGACGGCCTGGTGGCACCTTTATCTCCAGATAAGCAAGGTAGGGCCAGCAGCGGGGGGTGGAAATGGCAGGGGCATTGGGTTGTGTGAGGGTGTAGATGGATGTGTGCAACTGGATAGATAGAGTGTGTGTATATGCATGGATGGGTAGGTGGCTATGCAGGAGAAAGGATGGATGGATGGATAGGTGGGTATGCAGAAGGATGGATGGACAGACAGATGGACAGTGGATAAGTGGCTGTGCAGAAGGATGGACGGATGGATGACTATATAGATGGATAGATGGATATGTGGGTATGCAGAAGGGCGGATGGACAGAGGGATGGATAGATAAGTGGCTGTGCAGAAGGATGGATGGATATGTAGATAGGTAGATGGGCAGATGGGTAAGTGGCTATGCCAAAGGATGGATGGACAGATGGGCTGATGGATGGATAGATAAGTGGCCGTGCAGAAGGATGGATGGATGAATGGATGGACAGGTGGCTATGCAGAAGGACAGGTGGATGGATGTGCACGCAGATACAGTGAGCAGGGGACACATGGCTCGAGCACAGGCTGGGCTGGCAGGGCAGGTAGCGTGTGCGCTTGCGATGGATGAACAGAGCCGCGTCTGCGGTGCCTCCCCGGACACTCCCAAGCTGCAGCACCCCCGCCCCTCCCCACATCTGTACACAGCCCGTTCCTGCCCCTCTGTGACTGTGCTCGCTCCAGGGCATGGCTGACTTTGCTGTCTTGCCTTGCAGTGCTGATCATCCCACTGGTGGACAAGGACCATGGGGGCGTGGTGTGCGTTATCCTGGTGAGTGACCGGGGGCTGCCGGGACACGGGGGAAGCCACGGGCAGGGTGAGAAGGGATGGGCCGCACCAGGCAGTCTCCGGGAGGGGGCTTGCACCCTAGTGCTGACAGGTCCTGGACGCTCCTGGACAAGCCAGAGCCCATTCAGGTCAGACCCCACGGAGAACATCTGGCCGGTGGCAGATGTCCAGACATGTTTGCTTGTGCGTTGAATGGCATGATTTTGCTGGGAGAGGAAAGAAGCGCGTGTGAGGCTGATGCTCTCGGCCTCTTCTTCCGGCAATTCGGTGACAGATTTTTGGGCTCAGCGGGGGGCATCACCAGGCGGGCCCAGCTCCACTGCCTTCCCAAAGCAGGACAGCCATGTGCCTATGGTGCCAGGTTGTATGTGCTGACTCTCTCAGCAGGCCTGGACCCTGAGTCAGTGGTCCCTTTCTGGGCAAGAGGGACATGGCTGGTGGCTGCCCCCCCCAGGACATGGCAGGTATTATGGTGCCACATGGGCACCTGGATACCACAGACCAGGGTGGCCACGGCAGCATGATTTCTCTGCCGATGGAGCAGAGGACGGGAGGGTTAATGGGTGAATGCAGGAGGTGGGTACTCGCCCTGGGAGCTGGGGGTGGGGGGAGGTGAGAGCTTAAACAGATTAAGGAGCAAGCGGAGCCGTGAGATTTTCTCCAGTGCTTATTAAAAGGGAATTATAATGATTAGCAGGCGCTGACCTTTCCTGGCTGCGCCCAGCCCCAGCCGCTGGGGACCACGCTGGTCCAGGCAGGCTGCCAGCATGTGCACGGGGGGCTGGGCTCACCTGCGCGGGTGCACGGCCCTGTGTGAGCACCAAGGTGATGTGTCTGCACTGGAGATGCAATGACACGTGCAGTGGTGAGACACACCAACACGTATACACCTGTGAGACACGCCAGCATGCACTCGGGTGAGACATTCACTGACACGCTTACTTTGGTGAGACATGCACCGACTCACACACACTAGTGAGACACTCCATGACATATGCACGCTGGTGGGACATGCACCATCACATGTGCACTGGTGAGATATGCACTGACACACATTGGTGGGATTGATAAGGTGTTCACTGATTCACATGCGCTGGTGAGATATGCGCTGCCTCACACGCACTGGTGAGACATACACCAACACGGATGCACTGGTGAGACATGCACTGACACATGCACATTGGTGGGACATGTAGATACGTGCGTTAATGAGACATTCATTGACGCGCGCTCCGGTGAGCTATGCACTGATTCACACACATTGGCGAGACACACAGCGAAATATGAACACTGGTGAGACGTGCACCATCATGCGTGCACTGGTGAGACATGCACTGATATACACACATTGGTGGGACGTGCAGCAGCACACACTCACTGGTGAGACATGCTGACCCACATGTGCTCCACTGAGACACGCACTGCCATATCTGCACAGATATGATGCTTGCTGGCGTGCACAAGGTGATGCACTGACATGCAGTAGCTCAGGTGCAAGGATGTTAACACAGGTGAACATTAACTCAGGTGTGGGGATCACTTCCAGTGAAGCACTGGATGCACTGTCCAGATGCTCAAGAAGGATAGATTGTGCTTTATGAATCTGGAAAAGAGAGGTCCATTTCATTCAAACAGCGGCAGGACACATGAAACAGCAGCTTTTGATTATTTTTGGCTTAGCATGTTGTGGGTTTTTTTTTATACAGGGCAGATGAAATAGCAAAGGAATGCATTTATGTTGGGTTTTGCTCTGATTTTCAACTGAATAATCCAGCCCCCAGCCCCTGGTTTATTAAGCAAGCTTCTGGTTTCTTTATAACTAGAGAAAAAATGTGTGTTGTGCTATATGGGATGATGCATCTCACCATCTGCACCCACCCTTTGCAAAATCCTGGGGTATGCATTCCTCATGGTCCATCCCAGGACTGTCCCAGGCTCTCTCCCCTCCACCCGAGCCTAGCATCACCCTGGGACCCTGACGCTCAGGACTGCCCAGCCCTTCCCTGTGGGGCTGAAGGACCCCAGCTCTGCACTGGGGCAGCTCGAAGCCTCCTCCAGGCTCCAGAGGGGCCAGAGGTGCCAGGGCCCATGAGAGCAGCTGGCTTCAGGACCTGGCCCTGCCGGAGTCAGTTCGCCCACAGATGCACAGGGAGAGGCTAGGGGAAACCTCACCCCTGTTCCATGCCTCAGTTTCCCTGCCTGGCCAGTCTATACTGGAGGATGCACCATGCCCAGCCCCACCAGCAGCTGGTAGAGGTGAGGGCCATAAGCTGGGTTGGTCCAAGCGACTGTGGCTGGTCCAACCTCCTTGAAGTTACCAGCCCGAGGGAGCTGGACTGAAGCCAGCCCCAGACCTGGACATGCCATGGCTGGCAGGGCACGTGGAGGCTGCATTAACCCCTGTGCTGCCGTGCCCACTGGATCTTGGGCATAGGCAGGGCAGTGCTGGTAGAGTGGGGCCAAGTGGGGCTGGGACTGAGCCGCAGGGGTGAGCAGGGCAGCAAGGGGCTGCGACCACCCCCTCCACTCTGTCTCTCACCCCCAGGTGCACTGCGGGCAGCTGAGCGAGCCGGACCAGCAGAACCTGCGCACGCTGGAGAAGCACGTGAGTATCCTCAGTGCTGGGACGGGGGTACCACCCGCCTCAGTCCCTTGGCCCCAGCCCCCTGCCCTGGGTGGCGGATGCCTGGTGCACGCAGAGGGGCTGGGTGGGTCCAAGTGCAAGCCACCTGGCTGTGCATACAGGGCCCATGCAGGTGTGAGCATGCGTGTGCAAGGCGGGGTCTGTGCATGTCCAGCCATGGAGGGGGTCTGTGTGCCAGGTTGGGCTCCCCTGGCCTGCCACAGACCCGCTCTGACCACCTAGGAGCGGACGTTGCATTTGTCCCGGGACAAGTCATGCCTGCTTTTGTCCTGGAACAGAAATCTCCCAGGATTGGTCTAGACACACGTCGCTTTGCTAATCAGGGCTTAGCCATCCACGGTTACTGTCCTGCCATCCCAGGATAAGCGATCAGATGCACTTTGCAATGACCCAGGATCAAGCTTCTCCAGGAAATGAATTTAGGATTTTAGGGATTTTGAACAATGAACACAGGCGTCTGTATGATGCCGCTGTGTCCCAAGATAAAAATGGTTTATCCCAGGGACAAACAAGACAGACACATAAACGTCATAGATTTATCCCAGGACAATGGACGCGGATATCTGTACAATGCCGCTTTGTCTCAGGATAAGACAGGTTATCCCGGGACAAACAATACAACGACATAATCATCGCATATTGATCTTGGGACAATGGATATGGGCATCTGTATGATGCTGCTTTGTCTCAGGATAAAATGGTTTATCCCGGGATAAATGGGACAGCTGTTTGCAGCCCTGCAGACCAAGCCCCGTCCCCCGGGCAGTGCCCCGTCCCGTGTGCCCTGGCTCCGGGAATGAAGCCTCTCACCCCAGCACGTGGGGGGGTGTTTTCTGTGCAGACCAGGGCCAGGGCAGGACACGTGGCCGTGCTGGGTGGCACAGCAGGTCCCGCCATGGCGGGAGCCTTACAGCCCTTTCTCATGGGAGCTGCTGGGTGGAGGGAAGGGATCGGCTCCCCACTGACCCCTGCCCCGGGCTGTCCTGGCAGGTGCTGGTGGCATACCGGCGTGTCCAGGCCCTCCAGAAGCTGCAGCCCTGGCCCCAGGTCAGCCTGTCTACCAGCTCCTCCCAGAACTCGCTGGCTAAAACCGAGAGGGCCACCAGCAGCGACTACAACGACTTGGACCGCAAGATCCTCCAGCTGTGTGGTAAGGGAGGCGCTGCCCGTGGCATCCTCCAGCTGTGCATGCCTTCGGGGCACATGGGCTTGGAGGCACCCGCCAGGCTCATGTGGCCTCTCCGTGCCCATGCAGGGGAGCTGTACGACCTGGACGCCGCCTCGCTCCAGCTTAAAGTCCTCAACTATGTGAGTGCCGCACCTTTCCCCTTTGCCTTGGCATACCCCGGTGCTCTGCCAAGCCGGAGTTAGGACCCAGGCATCCTGGTGCTCTTCACCTCTATCAGGGCCCTCCCCCAGCTATGCCTTATTAGCCCCGGTGCAGGGTCTCCGGGTTCCCAGCTCTGCCACTGCCTGCCCTGTAACCTTGGTCAAGTCACGCAGCCACTCTCTGAGCCGTGCCTCAGTTTCCCCACCCCCGGCTGCATGACTCTCCTCCCCCTGCTTGTGCCTGGATGCAGCCGAAGCACCAGGAGCCACAGGGTCTGGGCGCTGCCCCGAGCCAGCGGCAGGGGGGTGTCCCCATGCGGGGCCTGCCCCTCACCTTGCTTCCCTCTCCCCACAGCTGAAGCAGGAGACCCAGTCGCCTTGCTGCTGCCTCTTGCTGGTCTCCGAGGACAATCACCAGCTCTTCTGCCAGGTGAGTGGGACGGCGCTGGGCACGGGGCAGGCACCGGGGGCCTCTGGCAGGGCCCACGTGCTCCCAGCACCCACAGTGGGGAAGGCTGGAGGGTCCCACCTGTGACCTGTCCTGCCCCTGCTGCAGTCTCCCCACCCCTCGCTGTCCCTTGCATCCCCTCCAGCTCCCCTTCCGGCTGGGGCTGGGTGATCTGAGCACAGCAGTGGGAGCTCCCTGGGTCTGGGGCTGCCTGCTGAGTCCCCAGCATGATGACCCCAGTTGCTACAGGACCGAATGCCCATCAGCTCTAGAGCGCTGGGCAGTTTTGCACCCTGGGGCTGGCTCAGATGATCGATTGTGGTCCTGGGCACAGCTTGTGTCAGCCCTTCAGGGGGTTTGCCCTCTGGGTGCTTCCTGGAAAGACTGGAGAGGCCAGGACCTGCTCCCCTGGGTGCCAGGGACCCTGTGGAGGGGCAGAGGCAGCTCTGGAGCAAAGTCCTGTCCTGGCATGGGCTCCAGAGGCTGCATTAGCCACGTTCATGTGCCCCGAAGCTGAGCTGTCCCTGACTCCCAGCCTTACTTCCTTCAGGTGGTGGGTGATAAAGTGCTGGAGGAGGAGATCAGCTTCCCCGTAAGTACCAGTCTTGCTGCCTAGTGGGTGAACAGCAGGGAACAGGCAGGTCAGGTCAGCCCCAGCCTGGAGACGGGTCCGGTCTGAGCCTTGGAGCTATATGGCATAAACCAGCTAAGGATGGGGACATGCACACATCCCCTGCAGGGCATGAAGCACATGTACCCGGCAGGGCAGCAGCATTGTGCTAGAGCCACTGACTTAGGGATAGCTCAGACCCGTCTTGCATGGAGAGCTGGAGATGCCATGCCCAATTTCTGCTTCTCCCTCCGCCGTCCTGAGCTGTGGTTACCAACTGCCCCGGTCCAGCTGCTTTGGCACCGGCTGGTGGGAAGACGGGAGCTTTCCCATGATCGCGGCTGCATGGGCTGGTCTCTGGTGCGGTCCCCTGGCCCATGGGAAGGAGCGCAAGCAAAACTGGACTGGAATTGGCCTTGCTACATGGCTGGACCTGCCTGATCAGCCTTAGTTCATCAAAACCAAAGTGATGCTTACCCCTGGATCAGGGCTGAGTGGCTCCCCAGGGGCCCGGTGGCTAGACAACCAGCCCCATCCATGAGCTACCTCCACAAGAGAGGTAATAGGCATAGTCCCGACGGGCTGCAGTGAAGTGCTGCTGATGAAGCCGGAGGAGCAGCCTGCTCTGGTTTATGTCCCGTGCCTAATCCCCACAGGCTCGCACCTCTCCTCAGTCAGAGGCTTAAGTGTGTTTGTCCGCACAGCGGTGATAAGGCCATTAATGCGCCCGCGTGCACACCCATTGCCGGCTCCCGGCTCCCGGCATCGCCACGCTCCAGTGGCACGGGCAGTTCATTTAGCATCTTTGCTAATCCAAAGTGCTGCAAGCTGCCATGGTCCTAGTGCCAGGGATGCAGCCGGCCTGGCATGCTAGGGCTCTGAGCAGCAGGACATGGGCTAATGTGCCTGGGGAGGCCTGGAGGAGATGGCTGGGGACATGGCTGGAGGCATCTAGGCACCACATCACCGGTGTAGCAGGGTGCCAGGAGCCAGCCGTGATTGTGCTCATGTAGGTGCGGGCTGAGGCTCTCCCGAGGCACAGGGAAGAAGCCACATGTGCTTGGAGAGCCCAGCTTGAGGCCACCACCGGGTGCAGAGCTGCGGGAGCTGGGCTGGGGGCAGAGCAGCATCTTCCTTGCCCCCATGGCACCGCTGCCCGCAGAGCTCACCCCATGTATGCGCTTTGTCTGCAGCTGACGGTCGGGCACCTGGGGAAGGTTGTGGAGGAGAAGAAGTCCATCACGCTGCAGGACATCAGCGTGGTACGTGATGGGCCGTGGGCGTTGAGGTGTCAGGTCCGGGCAGTTGCGCAGCCCTAAAGCCTCCATCCGTTGCTGTCATCTGCACTGTGCTGGGTGGCCGTGGCCCGCTGCGTGGTAGAGTGGCCGGGCAGCTGTTCTCCTGTGAACCTGGAAACGTGGGTTTGGTTCCCATCGGAGAGGGTCGAAGCCCCCATTTGGCTTGCTGCCTTGCACCTGGCCTCTGCTGCCTGCTGCTTCCTCCTCTGTGCCATGCAGAAGGGCTCGGGCTGACCCAGGTGCTCACCTGAGCAGGGCTCTGGCAAGGGGGGCAGTGCCCAAGAAAGGGGCAGACACCTGCATGGTAGAGATGCATCCAGCACTGTTGCTCTTGCTGCTGTTTCATTGCTGGGGAAACTGAGGCAGGGGGAAGAGGTTGGCCAGGGGTTTCTGTGCAGTCCAGCTGCCAAGCGGAGACTGGGAGCCAGTATCCCCTGGCCAGCCCACTCTCCCAGCGCCTGTGTTTGCCGACAGCAGGGGTCACGCCGGGGAGATGCGCAGCTCACCCCTCCTCATCCCACCCTCTCTTGGCAGGAGGAGCACAAGCAGCTGGGCAACATGCTGGGCTTCGAGGTGACCTCCATGCTCTGTGTCCCCGTCATCAGCAGAGCCACTGCGCAGGTGGTGGCCTTGGCCTGCGCCTTCAACAAGCTCGGCGGGGAGAGGTGAGTGGGGGGCAAGGGAAACTGGGATGCAGGGTCCCTGTGGGGTCATCCTGCATCCCAGCCATCCTCGGAGACGCAGCCAGGGAGCTCCAGCTTGGCTGTGGCTCCACGTCCCAAACCAGGTGCCTCAGCTCACCAGGCCTTGAGGCTCTGGGATGATGCCATGTGGTTCCTTATGCCCTTGGGTCTGAGAGGCCTGCAGCCTTTTGCTACCTTCTGTGCCCTGGTGCCCTGTGGGACCTGCCCTCAGCCCTGGGGGTGCCCAAACAGCCATTCACGCTTGCACGCACAGGCAACCACATTTGCATGCTCACCATTCACTCCCACATGTCCAGACAGCCATGCACACTCGCACACACAGCACAGCACTTGCACATCCACCGTTTGCTTACTCCAGCTGTGCACGCTCACACTCAGCCCAACATGCTTGAATATGCCATTCACTCACGTACACATGTCTAAACAGCCATGGACGCTTGCACACACAGCCCAACATGCTTGCATTCACTCCCACATGTCCAAACAACTGTGCATCCACCGTTTGCTTACTCACACATATACAGCTGTGCTTGCTCGCACAAGCAGCCCAGCATGCTTGCACATGCCATTCACTCACTTACATGCATCTAGACAACCATGCATGCTTGCACACACAGCTTATGAGTGGTCTGGTGATACCCTGCCTGCCCCACGCCCCGCCAGGCCCAGCCCGGGGGGAGGTCTTGTCTTGCCCCCACTGAAGTCTCCTGCTAGTCCTGTCCCTTTAGCAGGCTGCAGATGGGGCTGGCACCCCCTTGGGCCTGCGAAGCCACCAGGTCCAGCCAAGTATAGGGAGCAGGGAGCAGCATGGTCGGGGTCCCAAAGCTGTTGGGCAGGCTTGTCCCCTGTCTGAAGGACCATGGACATTTCACTCCAATGTCCCCCAATGGCTGGGAATAAAACCCAGGTGTCCTGGCTCCCAGCTCAGTGCCCCGGCCCCCAATGTCCTTGGCAGCAACAGGCTCTCTTCTTGCCCTAGGCCTGTGCTGGGGGAGAGGAGGGACCAGGCAGAAGCCCTGAGGGAGGAGGTGAACGCGGAGCGGGGTATGGCAGCTGGGTCCACCCCAGAGGTGGGCGCATCCCTGGCCCCTGACATGACCGTGCCCCCTTGCCTCCTTAGCTACACGGAGGCCGACGAGCACAAGATCCAGCACTGCTTCTGCTACACGTCCACCGTTCTGACCAGCACGCTGGCCTTCCAGAAGGAGCAGAAGCTCAAGTGCGAGTGTCAGGTGAGGCCCAGCCGGAGGGGCAGGGCAGGGCAGGGCAGGGGTCTCCGGCAGGGAAGGGGCCGAGCTGGGCACTTCCTGCGTGTGCAGGGCATAGCCCCCCGCCAGCAGGATGGCCGGCTGGGGCACAGCCCTGAGTCTGCAGCTCTGTAAAGGCAAAGGAGGAGCTCCCCTGCCTAGCAGCAGTAGTTGGCTTTTATCCACCCTGTGAGCCAGCTGCTAAAGCAGGATGCCTTGAACCAGCATCCCCATCCAAACCCGCCTGAGGGCCCTGCCACCTTCTGCCCTCAGTTGTGGCTGTCAGCACCCCCTCCACCAACCCCTTGAAGCGCTGGGATGATGGTACGTGGTTCCTTATGCCCTTGGGTCTGAGGGGCCTGCAGCCTTTTGCTACCCTAAGACCTTCCATGCCCTGGTGCCCTGTGCGACCTGCCCTTAGCCGTAGGGGTGCCCAGACAGCCATGCACATTTGCACACACAGCCCAACACACTTGCATGCTCACCATTCACTCCCATGTGTCCAGACAGCCATGCACGCTCGCCCACAGTACAGCCCTTGCACGTCCACCGTTTGCTTATTTATACATTTCCAGCTGTGCACTCTTGCACACGCAGCCCAACATGCTTGCCCATGCCATTCGCTCACTTACATGCCTAGACAGCCATGCACGCTTGCACACGCAACCCAAAACAGTCACACGCTCACCCTTTGCTCACTCACACGTGCATGCTTTCACACACACCCTGACATGTTCACACAATCACCCTTCATTCACACAGGTGTCCAGCCATGCACACTCTTACGCACAGCTCGGCACACTTGCATGCATACCCTGTGACGTGCTGTTTCATGCCTGCGCCACCCTGCATGTCTGCGGCCTCACATCTGCCAGCCTCCAGCCCCCTCTTGCCCTCAGAGGCTGCCCCCTGCCCCTGGCTCTGTTCCCACCCCCAGCTCCCAGGCTGGCACTGGCTGGGCTGTGGTGCCCATCACTGCACTGGGAAGGGGATTCACTGCCTTGTGCCCCACACAACAGCCACGACCACGCTGCTGGGAGCAGCACTGCCCTCCAGCCACGGGCATGGGGTGCCCTCTCGTGGCCAAGTGGGGTCCAGCCTCCCCGTCTCCGGGCAGCATTCAACCATCTGGGCAGGATTCCCCAAACAGGGAGCACTGGGCAGCTGCTGACAATGACTTTCCTGGGTGTGGTCCAGGCACAACACACAGCTTGCAATCTGATTCCAGCAGAGGATCACTAACCCCAGGAGGACACCGAGGCAGCCTCAGTTTCCCTACCTACATCTCCACTGCTTCCTGCCCCCCTCTCCCCTAAAGTACCCTCCACCCCAAGTTTCCCCTGACCCGCTCAATGCCCTGTGATTAGTCACCCCCATCCTAGGAGGAGCAGGGCGGTCGAGAGGACAGTGCCCTGGCCTGAAAGCTAGAAGACCCGGGTGGAGGCCTTGCTGTCTCTCTGCGTGCGCCGTGTGATAATTACTTTGCACGTGTGACCAGTTTAAATTTATTGCGCGATTCACCAGTTCATTGTGTGATCGTTACTTTGCACGTGTGGTCTGTTTAAATTTCTTATGGGATTCACCAGTTCGTTGCGTGATCATTACTTTGCATATGTGGTCAGTTTACATTTATTGCACAATTCAGCAGCTTATTGTGTGATCATTATTTGGCACATGCGGTTGGTTTAAATTTATTGCACGATTCACCAGCTCATTGTGTGATCCTTACTTTGCACATGTGGCCGGTCTTACTTGGCCCACGTGTCTAATTGAAATTTATTGCATCTCCAGCTCATTGTGCGATCCTTATTTTGCACATGTGGCCGGTCTTACTTGGGACGTGTGGCCGGTTTAAATTTATTGCGCGATTCACCAGCTTATTATGCAATAATCACTTGGCACATGTGGCCGGTTTAAATTTATCGCACGATTCACCATATCACTGTGTGAGCCTTACTTTGCACGTGTGGCTGGTCTTACTTGGTATGTGCGGCTGGTCTAAATTTAATGCACAGTTCACCAGTGAATTGTATAATGTATGCAACATATAGCATGGGCCTTGGATCCGTTCCCAGGAGTGGGAGCCCTGCTGCCACACGGCACCGCGAGCTCCTGCCCCCCTCTCCCTGCTGGAAACACAGCGGATTGCTGTCGGGGGCAGGAGGAGGGAGTGGGGCTCGGGCTGGTCCTAAGCCCACGAGACCAGACACGGTTAATTAACTCCAGCAACGAGCAGGACTCTCAATGGCTTCTTCTCCCCTCCAGGCTCTGCTGCAAGTGGCCAAGAACCTGTTCACCCACTTGGGTAGGTGGCTTACCCCTGCCCTCCGCCAGCCCAGAAGGAAGCCAACCCCCCTCCCATGGCTGTCCCTGGGCCATACTGTTGGGTGGGGGTCTGAGAGGTCTCCCCTGCATCACTGAGGGCAGGGTCTGGCCTCCGTTCCCTACTCCCTGCATGCATTTCCCTCTGCCCTTGCATGCTTGGAGGGTTGGGGAGTAGCAAGCACAGCAATGGGGAAACTGAGGCAGCAGCTTGCCCAAATAATGCCTTGGCAGATGCTAGCACCAGGGTGGGGAACTTCTCAGCTGCACCTCCTAAGGGTTGATCTAAGCACCGGGACCCCTGCCCACCAGACCCAGAGCATCCAGTGGGGCAGACCCCCACACCTGGGAGCTCAGGCCAGCCCCAGCCTGTCGCCACCTCGGGCTGGCCTCTCAGCCTCCATGGGCTGCCCAGAGCCGCACTGCCAGGACCCCACCATCACGCCCCATCCTCATGGTGCACCTTGTCCCCCACAGATGACGTGTCGGTGCTGCTCCAGGAGATCATCACTGAGGCCCGAAACCTCAGCAACGCCGAAATGTGAGTCTGGCCACGTGCGGGACGGGGCCACGGTCAGACCAGCCCACACGTGAACCACAGGCTGGGCAGAGTTGAGCCTGTCCCAGAGGCTGGGGCATGGGTAGTGCACATGGGGGTCATATCCTGGAGAGGAAGCCCCGTAACACAGCATCAGAGTGACTGAGATACAGCACGAGGCCCTGGGACTAAAGAAATGATGTGACCTGGCCCTGGGCAGAGTTAAGGTGATGCCCCCCAAGGAGCCAGATTGAGGTGAAGTGTCGAAGGGGCAGCATTAAAGTGATGCCCCGCTCTGGGGTGTTACTAGACTTAAGACACTCCGCAATAACCCATAGCACACAACTTTGTCCAACTTAAAACACAACCAAATATGCCAAAAAGACATCAGAAAGGCTTGCATACACCTTGCATGATCCTGAAGGCAGAGTGTCTCCTTGCAGCCAGGTATTCGGATGGTCTTTCTGGGGGATCTGTAGATCTTTTGGGCAGGTGAGGAAGAGATCCCCCGGACCTCATCATTACCTGGGTTTTTATTGGAGATCTACACCTCCTTCTCCCCGCTTGGGTGCCTTGACCATAGCATGCTTTTCTCATCCCGCACACCCCTCAGCGTCCCTGTCTCTTCTCAGGTTTCCCAGTCTCTCGCCCCTTCTACAGGTCCTGCTTTGCAATGTAAATGTAGCTCCCTGCAAGTCGCTTCAGGCTCAGTAAAAAGGCCCGCACTTGTTATGACTGTGCCAGGTCTTTGCCAACGAGGGGCAGAGTTAAGGGGACTTGTTTCCACTCCGAATGCTCCCCGAGGTTGCATCTGGAGTGAGGAGGGGCAGGGGGATGAGAGAGGATGGGATGGATTCTGCATCGGGGCAGTCTGGGCTTCTCTTCCCTGAGCCTCCCCGCGGCCTCTTGTCCCCGGCAGATGCTCCGTGTTCCTGCTGGACAGAGGCAACCAGGAGCTGGTGGCCAAGGTGTTCGACGGCGGTGTAGTGGACGATGAGGTAGGCCAGCTGGATGAGGGTGAGGGTGGGCAGGGCCGGTGGGTGCTCGGGGAGGCATGGGTGAGGGGTGGCACTGGAGACCCTCTGAGCAATTCCCCTCTGCCAACACCCCCAGAGCTACGAGATCCGGATCCCCGCGGACCAGGGCATCGCGGGGCACGTGGCCACCACAGGGAAGATCCTCAACATCAAGGATGCCTATTCCCATCCGCTCTTCTACCGGGGCGTGGACGACAGCACCGGCTTCCGGACCAGGAACATCCTCTGCTTCCCCATCAAGAACGAGAACCAGGGTGAGGCCCTGCTCGGCCCGACCCCAGCCCCCATCTCCTCCGTGCGGGGCTGGACAGACCCACCCATGTCTCCAGGGCTCTTCAGCATCTCTGGAGATCTCTGGAGGGCATGAGAGGTCCCCAGAGTGGGTAAAGGGCCTGCATCCCACCTCCCCAGCCTCAGCTGCACCCTGTCCAGCCCTGTGCTGGCATGGAACTGGTTATACGGAGCATGGGGTCCCAATCCAGGCCGTCAGGGCCCCTTGAGCCCACGCCTCCTGATGCCACGGCATAGCTGTAGTGTGCCACTCTGCTAACCATGCCTGCCATGTGCTCCTGGCTCTTCCAGAGGTCATCGGGGTGGCCGAGCTGGTCAACAAAATCAACGGCCCCTGGTTCAGCAAGTTTGACGAGGACCTGGCCACGGCCTTCTCCATCTACTGTGGCATCAGCATTGCCCACGTAAGTGCCAGGGCTGCCCCATGGCCTGTCTTAGCCTCGTGTTGATGCCCGGCTGGGTGCTGGGTCTCCTTTTGCCAGGTATCTGCCCCCCAAAACCACTAACCACCCTCTCCTCCCCCTTGCCACAGTCCCTGCTGTATAAGAAGGTCAACGAGGCGCAGTACCGGAGCCACCTGGCCAACGAGATGATGATGTACCACATGAAGGTGAGGGGGGTGAGCAGGCTGCCAGGGGGAGTGGCAGAGGCAGCCAGCTCTGGGGTGGAGCACAGATCTGAGGGTCTTCCTACAACGCTGCAGCAGCCCATGGGTTTTCATCAGCCTCCAGCCAGCCGTCCCAACAGCTCCTGAGCAATCAGCCTCCAATGTATTGCCTGCAGTGGTGTTGCTCTGTTGCTGCACCCCAGAAGCAGCTGCATTTCAGGGAGGAGCAAGGTCATGGCTCTGCAGGGGAGTTATCTTGGTGTGGCTGAGCTCTGTCTGCAGAGCGGCCAAGGGCAGCACACCCCAAGGGCTCGACTGTGGTGCATCAGGAAGCTTGTATAGCTGCCGTCCCATGCCGTGCATGGCAGATCAAGGACCCCAGGATGGGGCTGTCTGCCCAGTGCCAACGGGTGAACCCTGAGATTGCTGCCCATCACGAAAGGCCTGTCCCCATCTCCTCTTGCAGGTCTCAGACGACGAATACACCAAGCTGCTGAGCGAAGGGATCCGGCCCGTCCAACACATCGATTCCAGCTTTGCCAACTTTTCCTACACTCCACGCTCTCTGCCCGAGGACGACACATCCATGGTGGGTGCTGGGGGCAGGTCTAGGGCCCCGGGGGCCAAGCCTTATCCCACCACAGCTGAGAACAAAGCCAGGAGAAAACCGGGGCTTAAAGGGTTGAGAGTCCGGGGGTCTAGTCCCTGCTTTACCTGGGTTTCTTTGCTCCTACTTGATGTCTCTGCGGGCACAGGCAGGCACAACACCCACCCAGGTCAGCAGCATTGCACCGGGGTGAAATCAGCAGCAGACAGGCAGCACAAACCCCTCTGTAAACTGTCCCTGGTAGGATTGAGGGTAACCGGGGCCTTTCCCCTGGTAAGACTGCAGCGGTCTGCATCCATCCAAGGGGAGCATTTGCCAAAGGTGGTCAGGGTCCCTTGCCCCCCGTGCCTAGCCCTCAGATGCAGCTGCCTGCTGCTTGCCCTGCCCCAGGATACTGCATGTCTGTGTGCTGCTCACCCCCGGGTCATTTCCCAGCTCAGTCATAGTGGATGTGCAAGTGCCTGCCTGTGCCCTGCACCTCTCTTCCTATCTGGAGTTGTTCTGTCTTTGGGTCCCGGGCAAGGAGCCTGGCATGAGGGGCTAGACTGCATCTGCAGTCTCTGCCAGCCCAAGCCCCTCATCCAGCTCTCTCCTGCCTCGCTCCACAGGCCATCCTGAGCATGCTGCAGGACATGAACTTCATCAACAACTACAAGGTGGATCGCCCGACGCTGGCCAGGTGGGCTTGCTCTCTGCATGGCGCGGGGCTGCGGAGGGTGGGGGCATGTGTCCGCTTCTTCTTATGAGCCTCTCAAGTTCACTAAACACATCAGCTTCATGCTCAGTGGCCATCAGGAAGGCAAACAACATCATAGTCATAGAAAATGAAGGTTGGAAGGGACCCCAGGAGGTCACATGTAGTCCAACCTCCTGCTCAAAGCCTCAACTACATCATCCCAGTCAAGGCTTAGTCTAGCTGGGCCTTAAAAAACTCCAAAGATGGAGATCCCACCACCTTTCTAGGTAGCCCATTCCAGTTTCACCACCGTCCTAGTGAGAAAGTTTTTCCTAATATCCAACCTCAACTTGCCTTGCTGCAGCTTGAGCCCATTGCTCTTTGTTCTGTCATCTGCCCCCGCTGAGAACAGCCCAGCTCCATCCTCTTTGCAACCCCCTGCAGGGAGCTGAAGGCTGCTATTCAATCCCCCTTGGTCTTCTCTTCTGCAAATTAAATCAGCCCATTTCCCTCAGCCTGTCCTCACCACTCATGTCCCCCAGCTCCTCAACCATTTTTGCTGCCCTCATGAACATGCTGGGGATGATTAAGAAGGTAACTGTGAACAAGATGGAAAGTATCATGATATCCCTTTATTAATCCATGGTGCATGCGCACCTTAAATACGATGCCCAGGTCTGGTGGCCGCACCTCCACAAGGAGATGGAAGAGCTAGAGGAGGTGCAGAGAAGGGCAGCAAGGATGATGAGCGGTGTGGAGCAGAGACTGAAGAGGCCAAGCCTGGTCAGTCTAGAAAAGAGACATTTAAAGGGGGATGTGAGAAGGCTTTGCCCAACACTAAACGGCGAAGAGAAAGTCACTGGGGGTTTATGAGTGACTCTCACCAGACAAGAACGGGGGTCACCACATGAAAGGAGCTGGTAGCAAGTTGAAAACGAACAGCGTGAAGTTGTGTTTCACTCAGTGTGTCATTCAAGGGTGGGACACATTGACACCAGAGGTGGGGGCACCTGAGAGTTAGCCCCATTCACCAAGGGACTGGACACAGGCTTGGAGGAAAGGGGCATCTGAGCTTCCTGGACCCTAAATGCTGGAGGCTGCAAGGAAGAGGAACAGTGGAAAGACCCTCTGGCCAAACCCAGTTTGCAAGACCTAGGCTGGAGGGGGCATGGCTTGTGCAGAGATGTTGAAAGGAAGGTGCCCCTTGGATGGACACAGCCTCCCACTCTGCCCGGGCACACTCATCCATGCCAAGACAGGCAGGGCAGGCTCAGAGGGGCAGGTGTGCCAAGACTATGCACGTGGATGGGGCAGGCAGCGCGCGCAGCCCTGTCAGCACACAAGCAAGCACGCGTTCTTGGCTGCAGCCAGCCATACCCCTGCTTTCCCTTGGCAGCAGCTGCAGAGCTCAGGTGCTGACAGGTCCAGTGGGGTCTTGGAGGAGAGTGGGGCTCAGAGCCAGGAGCAGCTCAAAGCTGAATAGATGCCCAGGGAACAGATACCAGGGGAAGGGGTGGGCTCTCCATCACTGGAGGTGTCCAAGAGGAGGCTGGACAGCCCCTGGTTGGGGATGATCTATGTGTAGCAATGCCTGTGCTCTGCAATGGGGATTTCCCAGGCTTCTGGGCTTTGCTGGTTCCCCCCACCCCTTTGTGCTCCATGCATCAGGGGGTTTTGAAGCCTCCCCCAGAGGTGCTGGGTGCTGCTGCAACCCAGGCTGGCTGTGCCAAAGCTCCTGCTGGGACCAAACCCAGAGCGTCCTGGCCAGAGAGTCTTGTCCCTCTGCTTAGGGTCAGACCGATGCTGCATTTGGGGTCAGGAAGGAATTTCCCCCCTGTGGCGGGCCAGTAGGGGGCGCTCCTGCGTTGAGCCGCCCACCACCCTGCGCCCGCCCACCTTCCAGGCTCCGAGTGCCTCCCTGGGGTGCCTCCCGTCCGGCCGACCCCTTCCCTGGAGCACACCCGCTAGCCTGGGGTTCCCGCTGCCACCATCCAAGGCTCTGGACTCACTTCTGGCTCTGCGCACCTTGGAAAACACAGGCCTGATCGTCCAATGGGTGCTAGACCCAGTATAAGCACTTGGGGCACTTCCCCAAGTCAGGGGCTGATTAGGGAAGCCTCCCTTAGTCCACCGACCTAAGGGGCCTCCTCGGCATAATTTAGACCCACCCCTCAATAAGTTTCCCACATCGGT